TGATTTGAGACGACTTGAACAGAATTGAACAATTGAACAAGATTGAGGAATGTATTGACGAAAGGATGTTATAGAACATTTTTGAAATTAAAAAGATAGTGAACATGTGCCTTGAACAAGAACGATGAACATTTTCAACATTTACTCTTTACTGTGATGTTTAACCGCAATAAATTTGTTTCTTTTTATCGTAATAAATTAGTTTTATTTTTTTTAAACACATGAAGCGTTTAGGCAACCAGTTATACACATGTGTGTGGCCCATGTGTGATCTTTGTCATGCGTCCTTGGGCACTTAATACGGATCTCCGTACAGTCAAATCTGAGAGGCGGCACGTTTACATGACCTACTGCGACCCTATAATCATTTATAGAAACCCTGTACTATGATCTCGGCGATCAGTAATGTAAAGGTTCGCGCACACGGAACCGAGTGATTTAGAAAGCACTCGATCCACAATTCGCGGGCCAACATCAGCTACACCATAAAACATTACCATGTCGACACGCTCTGAAACATTCACTAGGTATTGTCAAAAACGTTAACCGAACACACGACGGCAACCAACTGATACATGACTGGTCCTTATCGTGTTTTTGCACGTTGCATATTAGTACGCCGATGCGCCGGTTTTTTGGTTCTGACTCCTAGTCGTTCTGTGCCATTCACTGAATAGTAGTTATGGAAGGTCAAGAAACGCTACCAGTGGCATGTAACAATTTATATTTAATTTCAAAATCATTTTTTGTAGATATTGATTCCACCTAGGAACGTGGACTTTACATAGTGCAATAAATCTTATTGTGAACTATTCCCCATTTCTTTTTTACTGCACATATTTCGAAATAATCTTGTATAAAAGAGAAGGTGATTTATTGATTATTATTTACGAATGAACTCTGCTAAGATTTCTTATTTCGGAAATAATATGAAAAAATTCCCGTAGGTAACACTATTTTTGGCATAGTGTTTTATAGTACACTGGGCAGAAGCTCGCTTAACCCGTCTTTAATATTTTTTAACGACGATGATCTTCCTTAATTTATACCAAAATAGGCTAAACAAAAATTTGGGAAGAATTTGCGAAAACAATCCACTTACCATCTTCGATAATATTTTAATTATGACGGTTAAGAATTCCTTTCTCATAAAAACGTTAACTTATAACAATTTTAACACGCCGAAAATATATACAATGGTTAACATGCGAGAGAAGTTATATTTTTTAAAATAACTTTATAGCCGAATCTAATAACTTCTTATCATCCTTAAAGTGGGAAATTCTGCTCAATTCCAACACCTGTGAATTAGCGCTCCAGACTTTCTATGATATAATCCACTTTACGATTAACAAATTCATACCAAAACAACGGAAATTCAATAGTGGATCACATTATCCGATTTGGTACTCCAAACAAACCATAAAACTAATTACAAAGAAGCGCAATTTATACTGCAACTATAAATCATCATCGAACATGTTTGTTTATAACAAATAAGGTATAAGGAACTAAGAAAAATATCAAAAATTGAGATTGCCAAAGATTATGCCAGGTATTTGCGTTACATACAGTCAAATATTCATTCTGACTGTAAGGCTTTTTTTAAATTTTTCAATAACAAACAAAGTAAATCCAACTTCGATATTCCCAATATAATGAACTACGACAATGAATCTTCTTCCAATCCTCGTGAAATTACTAATCTGTGCGCAAAATCCTTCAAATCTGTCTACAAGACTCATGTCATAATAAAGACATTATTATTACAGATTATTCCCCTTTTGATAACAGTAACAGCTTAAATAATATTAAAATGTCCCCAGATATTGTTTTTAACAAATTAAATAAAATCAAAGCAAGTTTAAACCCAGGTCCTGACGGTGTACCATCTTATCTTCCTAAGCAATGCAGTAACACTTTAGCGTGGCCCCTCTCGATTATATACTCTAAATCCATCTCTGAAGGAGTGTGTCCCTCATTTTGGAAGATCTCATATGTTTTACCCCTTTTTAAATCTGGAGATAGATCTAACATTACTAATTACAGACCAACCTGCATAATTCCAGCCTTATGTAAAATTCTAGAATCAATAATTTCAGAAGCTCTCTTCGCTACATTCAGAAATAAACTCTCATCCCATCAGCATGGCTTTTTCCCTGGTCGATCCACTGTCACAAATCTAGTTGCTTATATTAATTACTTATATTGCAAGTTCTTTAGAAAATGGATATCAAGTAGATGCAATACATACAGATTTCAGCAAAGCTTTTGATCGTGTGGATCACCGTTTGTTGCTTCAAAAACTTTGGCTTTATGGGATCGAGGGGAAATTGCACAACTGCTTAAGTTCTTACATTCAACACCGACAACAACAAGTTTTTTTGAATGGATATCTTTCTGATTCTTTTATCGTTTCATCTGGGGTACCACAGGGTAGTCACTTGGGACCCATGTTGTTTTCCTTATTTATTAACGATTTAAATAATTATCTTTCATCATGCAACTATTTATTGTTCGCAGACCATTTAAAAATATTTAACAAAGTTATTTCCATAAATAATTATATCCTTTTACAAAGGGATCTAAATGTAGTTAACAACTGGTGTTCAAACAACAACATGTTACTTAATTTTGATAAGTGCAAAACAATCACTTTTTCTCGTAAATCGAATAATTTATAATATGTACAATTATGCAGTGAAGGGTTTTACTCTCAATAAGGTAGATGAAATTTGTGACCTAGGTATTCTTTTCGATTCGCAAAAAAAAACTTCAATTGGCATATTGACAACATTATAAGTAAGGCATTTCGTATGTGCGGCTTTATAAAAAGGCAGACTAAAGATTTCAGCGATGTTAATGCTATCCGCAAATTATTTGTTGCATATATCAGATCCGTTCTAGAATATTGTAATATAATTTGGTATCCTTATTATGATATTCATCAAACAAAGCTCGAAAGAGTTCAACACAAGTTTGTAAATTACTTAATTTTTAAAATGGGATTGAACAAAAACAATTATATTTACGAACATAGGTTAATGTTAGCTAATTTAGAAACTCTGGGCTCGAGAAAAGTAAAAAGTGACATAATTTTTGGTTTTAAATTGCTCAAGAACATAATTGACTGCACTGAATTGGTCAAAACATTTTTGGTTTTGATATTTTACGAAAAAATTATGTCCATCAAAATTTTTTGGGCGAAGAGCCGCGTATTTTCTATAAATACGTAAATAAAGTTCTCCCAGAACAGTAAACGCTCTGTCTTTATTTATGTACTACAAAACACTAGCCGAGAAAATTTTTAAATGCACCAATTTTCATCGCATCGAATTGGACCCATTACTGCCGATATTATAATAACATATAAATAAACACTTTTCTACCTAGTTTTTACTGAACTCAGAATTATTTACTTTTATCATCAAGTATTTATCTTCTTTACTGAAAACCCTTGATTTTTTGGGTGTATAAGATTCACCTTGTATTTTCAGATATGCCGGTAAGTTAGTATACTTGGATATGTCAATGCCATTTTTCAACTGGAGTATTACTTTGGGCTATACCTTCATATTTCAATAGTAGCTCCATAAAGTCGAGGCTTTCATTTTAGATGCTAATCCCACGAAATAAACCAGCAAAATGTTCTGTGTGTAAGTTTTTTTTCCTTTCACCAGGAATCGTTCATGTACTGCACTTCATTTTGTCTGGATTTAGACGATAACAGATTTTCTATTGCCCCCTTCGCAATTTCCTCAAATCAGGTGGAGTGCCTACCATTTGGAACTTCCATTACTTACTCTCTCTCACGATCTGATTTTGAAACCCTTTAAAACCAGGATCTTTCGGAATACATAAGTGTCACTAATGAGTTAATGACAAATATATAGGCAACCATGTAATTGTTTAATTTAAATTTACTCATTGCCGGTCGCGGCAGCCACCCGGCACCGAATCTTTTACACTTTGTTTGGAGAAAAAGTAATGTTTGTTATTTGGCCGAAAAGTCTCTTTTGTTGTGTGGAAATTTCGCATACGCTCAGCTATGCTACGCTTCGGCCGCTACTGCAATCTAATTGCTCGACAGAAAAAAGTACCATTTTTCAGAGAAGTTTTAACTAATATAATAATTGTTCCATTAATAAAACAATCTATACTTAAAAAAATGTGTGTATAAATTTCCCGATGTTTTAAAACTTGCAAAAACTATGGCTTAACTAAGTTTTCGATTGTGCTGCATATCATTTGTTGCTAAAAAAAATTGGAAGTTTCTAAAAGGTCCTAAGCTAAAAATCATCTTTATGCCATTATAATATTATTTATGAAGTAACTACAAGGTATGCATAAATTTTTGAGAAGCATATTAGGTTGAATGACACGAATGTTTCATCTATAAACTCGACGTACTAAATTGTTTGCAACAGATTTAAACACACATATTTACCAGATAGTTGTACCGTCTTGAGCGCAGAAAATTCAGTAATTGCAAAGTTTCAAACTCCAAACTGTAACTCTATGTATACTTATTATTAAATTGAATATTGGAAATCCACGTTTCAAGAATCCTTCAAAAAGAAAAACATTTCTGTTTAACAAAATCTTTATAAAGTTTTTCATTTCCAAGGCATAATCAACTAGTGTAAACAAAAGAACTTGGAAAGCCACACCAATTTGTCGTCCACAATCTTTGCAAGTGTAGAAAGTTAGCGGACAGTATTGGTAAAGATAATGCGAAGAGTGAGTTCTTAAGCTTTAACATAAAATATATACAACTTAGATATTTCAAGTTAAACAAAAATAACCATGTAAGAAGTAATTTAAAATAACAACGCAAATCGTCATTTTTCTGCATCTTTGTCAAATGAAATTTTGAACGAGAAAATTGTCCAAACATCTTAGGAATACCAGATTATTCCTCTAAAATAAATGTCGTCTCGCACCTTTAGATTCTTGTCGTTTCTTGAATATAATTCTTTATTAAGTGATTAGAGTAATAATAATTAAAGATTATGTTATAAATTGTTGCATAACAATAATAAATTAGCAAAAATCCACACGAGCATACAGTAAATTATTATCTACATATTTTACAACAATATAATTACTACATTAATACACATTACTACACTGATGCACACATAAAGTACTACATCCAACAATGCTACATGCATGATATCAGTTTAACCAATCAATAACAGCAATACATGTGCCTCAAATACAATTTTTTTTAGAGAAATTAATATATCCTTCATCCATTTCGTCAATGAAAGTATATAGAGGATGTATTCTTCTTTTGTGACTACAATGCGCGTTATTATTAAGAAATATGAGACCACTTATTACTCTTTTTCTACAACTGCCCACTGCCCAAACAAACGCACATTGCATATAATTCGGATGGACAAAAAATAAAAAAATTCCATTAAAGACAAAACTGAAAAACCTGTGAAGAGTCCAAGAAGTCCACCAAAATTTGAAATAAAATCTATAGGTCCATATAGTTCGTTCCTTTCTGAAGTTATGAAACCATCTGATTTAAAGAAGAGAGTTAAAGCAGAGACGTGCGAACTGAAATATATTAATAACAATATAACTACAAAGACAAAAATAATTATGAACCCACTTGGCGCGAACACCGGGGAGCCTTCGTTGAGCAAAAGCCCTTTTTTTCCATTCATAATTTATTTGGGAAATTGCAACTTCATAAGTTAAATCTGTGCAAAGAGGTAAACAGTTACAATCAAATTCCTTGAAATAACCTGGATTTTCAATCTTAGTAGTCAAATAGAATTTTCTCAGTCTGCCTGCAAAAAAAAACTCATAATTGTCTTAAAAAGCTTATCTTTAAGCTAACAATACTTTCTCTCGATTTCATGCATTCTATTTGACCAGTACCGCAAATCGTGGTCCCATTTTCGCCTAAAATAAACAAATTTCGGATTACATTTACACTTAAGACATAAAATTTACGAGGCATATAAAAATTTACACAACCACATACGTCCAATGTATAGTTAGTTAAACACTCCAAGTTACAATTGGATGCGGTGTAATTCTTAAAATATCTCAACTGACGTTCGTTCGAAAGAAAGCATTTTCGTCGTTCGTAGTTATAAGTTTTTACCCTTGACGAAGTTGTAATCATCACAGGTTCAATGGCCCCCATTACACTCTGATCAAGGGGTACTCTGAAATATTTTTTACTTGGGCGAGGTATCGTCATAGGAGTATGAAGCATAACTTTATATCCTTGCAGAGCATCTTTACATGTATAATCTAAATCTTCGCTTGGAGTTAAGATATTCAAAGTAAGTCCACTTTTTGCTCCTGCTGAGAAAGCTCTTATGGGGTAGGCATACAAACCTGCATTTTCAGAGTAGCCATCTTGCAAACTCCAAATACTACTGTTTTCATATACGAACCCCGGTCTTTGGTAATAATCTTTCAGTGGTAATCTAAAATATTATACAACATAAATAATTTACCTTAATTACTACAAAAAAATTTACACAGTATTCCTGTAAATTTCCTGTCCGTCAAGCATATTGAACGAATAACATATTCCTTCCTCAGTAATAACTGGCACATAAAATTTATCACATCTGTCTTTCACATCTTCGAAAAAAGAACAGCCTAGAATTTGAAACTTTGGAGTTACGGCTTTGAGAACGTCATAAAATTCTTCAGAAAAAGTGCCATTGTTGGTGTAATTTAATTCTGGGTATTGGTTGCAAATCAAAGACATATATTCAAACCGAACTTTTCTAAAAACAACTGGGTTAGTTTCAGATGAACTTCGTATTGAGCGCTAAAAATTTACTCAGAAAGATTTAATGGTATCCCGTCCACCATTTTATACACTACTTCGGTAAAATTAAAAATCCTTCGGTCTGATTTTGCTTCGGGACAAATTGTTACAGCCGGGAAGGGAATTGTATATATCGGGGTTCGCGTGTTGCCAAAATTAACGATTACTGGACTTTCCTCCCACTTTTTATAAACAGCATAAATTGAAATAACGCAAGCAGCCAAACAAATTACAAAAACTATTAACCACCAAATTCTACGAAAAATATTTAAAGTGCCGGAAATATTGAAGTTCCACCTTACCTTTCGACGATGTGTCTATTTTTCTCACCAAAATATTGAAAACCGTGCACACTTGTGTGATTGCAGTAGTCCCGAAACTGTATGTGCATATTTTTCAAAAAGTTTTTCTTCATGATTGTTCCTGTTACAAAACAAGTATTCATACACCACTGAAGCAAGCGTTATGGAGAATTTAATTAATTCGTTTATACTGAAAACATTTTGATTATATTACTTAAATTACTTAATTAATTTACTTCCACCAATGAGACTATACTCAAATTAACACGTACGTATACGCTTAATGTAGGGTTTTTATAAATGATTTTAATGGCCTAGTTGGCCATAGAGTTCAAAAATCTCTCTTCGCTGAAGATATGTCTATAACGGCCTGTAGCTTGATAATTTTCAATTGTCATTTGTAACTTGTCATGTAAAATCATCGCTTTTATTGTTCCAACCTTTTTCAAATGTAAATCACAGTAACTGTAGTTGATCCAAACTCAAAACAACAAAACAATCGTTTTCAAGACTCTGGGTGCTTGCGTACAAAAATTTTGTTTTTGTGCTAGGAAGCGAAGTCCGTGAAAATGGTTTATGTCTTAAAATCGCAATGGAACATTCGTAAACGGAGAATGGGGATGTATTCTGTTCCCACCTATAAGCAAGAATATCCTAATTTGCAAATCCAAGAAACGTCCTTAGAGGCTCATATTAAAGAATCAACGAATCTGTTCGAAATGGCAGTATCAATAAGGGAAATCTCCTGGAAGACCTTTAATATCTGAAATAAAAATCGAGACAGAGACACGAAAACGGGGACCTATTTTTTCATACTCTACGGGTCATGAAACGTCGCGAAAAATAAAAATTCGCTGAATGGACCGTGTTACGATACCTTCTTAGTTTATGCTCGGGAAATAAAACTATGACCAAGCTGCACACTAGACTGGAAACGTCTAAAATCTATTTTTCAAAGAAAACTGATTTTAAATTATTTAATATTTAACAGAACATCCCTCGTCTTTGAAGTACAACCACCTATAGCGTATTTTTAAACACATATTTATTTAGTATTTTTTTGGAAGGATAAACATTAATCCTACTATGCATAACGTGATCCCATTAACGTTACTCTACCCTAAGAATTTTGGAGAAAATAAATGGAATCATTCTTGAAATAATAGAAAAAAAGGTAATGTCCTCTGTCGAAGCCGGGAAGACTTAACGGAAGTAGGAAGAAAAAAAGTAAGAAATGAATTTGAAGGTTTGGTTTTTAAAATACAAATACGTCTTATGCTTTTGCGGAAGAGTATTTAATACACAGTAAATATCGAGGTAATTATACACCAATAAAGCAGTTTTACGTGATTATGTGATAATATCCATTCCAGAAACTCCCTAAAACTGACAGTTATTACATAACATTTTTCAGTATAATGGAAACTATATACTTTGTCCCTTGGTTGTACTTGTGCGTCCACGCTGTCAAAACTTTGCTTTTTGTTTATATTACGAATTAAATAATTTATATTATTGCAATTATACTGTCATAGTAATAAATTGAAAAGGCGGACCACTAAATTGTTATAGTGAAAGCTTTAAATTTAAATCGGAATGATCACCAACATTGAATATAAAAGTTAGTATTTTTGGAATGCATATATGTAGTATAAGAACTTTTGTCCATAAAATAAATGAAAAATTCATAGAATTGTATAAATTATACCAACGAGTATAAAAAATCTCTGTATTAAAGCTTCCTCAATCATTTTTAATTTTAATCACTTTGACCAACCCAACGACCAAACAGATAGCGATTACACAATATTCTGATCGTCAAAAAATAAATCATTTCAACTAACGAAACTACGGAAAATCCACTAAATAATCCAAGGAGGCCTCCGAAATTTGCCAAAAAATCAATAGATCCATATAGTTCTTTCCTTTCAGTTTTAATAAATGGGCTAGATTTAAAGAAAATAGTTAGCGATGATATATGTGGCCTAAAACGACAAGACTCGTTATAATAAAACTTATATTCATACTTTAAAAAATACTTGCTAAAATTCACAGAGTGTCGCCCACTGTAAAACCATTTGTTCACGTCTAACGCACTTTGTGAAGTATCCACTTCATAACTTAGCTCGTCACAAGATGGTAGACAGTCACAATTCATTCGTTGTACGGTTTTATTTTTAGATTTAAGCATTTCCGTTGTAAAGCTCATTAAATCAAGTAGATTATTCGAAGGTCTTGAATTAGAACCCTTGACCTCATGCCAAATCTTGTCAGTTAACATTATAACTAAAATTAAGAGATTGATTGCATTAATTCATATGTTATGTTTGAAACAAGAATGACGCTAAATTTGACTGTGCATAAAATAAAATATGTATATTATACAGAGTGATTTCGAAAATCATCAGATGTAATCATAATCATTTCAAACAGATTATAGTGCAGGCATTACTTAATTATTCTAGGAAAAACATGTTCATCTACTACTAAAACAACCACGTGACATTTATCTCATTTCAAAAATACATCTACGTGGGATGTAAATCTTTTAATTCAAAAAACTTACCATCCACTTTTCGCATACATAACTGGTCAGTACAAATTTCAGCAGTCTCTTCTTCTAAAAAAATGTGTACAAAAGTATTGAAATGCAAAAAACTTGAGTACAAACTTCTTACTTGGCATAAAAAAAGGAACACAGTCGCACAAGTATAAAGTGTAATTTGCACGACACTCCATTTTGCAGTTTGCAGAAGTGTAGTACTGAAAATATTTTAGCTGGCGCTCTTTCTGGAAGTAACACTTGCGCTCGTGGGGACTGTATTTCTTCACAGATTTTGAAGACGATGTCATCACTGGTTTCACACTTGCTACTACGCTCTGATTTAACGGCAACCAAAAATATTCTTGATTGAGATCAGGTATAGTCACTGACGTGTGCAAAAAAACTTTGTAACCTAACTCAATGCTCTTACATCCATAATCTAAATCATCATCAGAAGCTAAAATTTTTAATTTTAACGAATTTTCTGCGCCCCCAGAGAAAATTCTAAAAGGATAAGAATTTAAAGACGCTTTTTCGTAGTAACCACCTTCTATATTCCAATCGGATGACTTTGTTGGAACGGTATAAAAGCTTTCATAATGACGTCTTAAATTCAAAGGTTAATGAGAGATCTATAAATATTTTCGAGATCTTACTTACACATTATCCCTGAATAATTCACTTCGATTTAAAATGTTAAATGTGTAACAAATGCCCTCGTGGGTTATTATTGGGGTAAACAAATGTTCACAACTTGAACTAAATAAATTATATGAACATTCAACCATGTGCATATCAGGTTTCATTTCATCCATTATCCGGAAAAAATTTGAAGTGAACTTTTTAAATCGATTAGCGTTGCTTGATTGAGTGTAATTCAGTGGTGGTGAGCTGCAAATCAGTGACATATACTGAAACTCCAGGCTTCTAAAAAAAAACACGGTTAGGATAAAGCTAGAAGATACAATTAGACATACTCAGATACATTCCCCGTCCGTTTAAAAGTTTCTATATCTTCCAATAATTTGTCGTAATTCGGCTTATTCTTTCCAAAAACTGATTCCAGGCAAATAGTAACCGCAGGAAACGGAATTGTAAACAAAGAGGTTTCTTTATTAGCCGGATTAACAATAATAGCGGTTTCTTTCCACTTTATATAAATATTATAAACTGATAAACTACAAGCAACCGCGCAAGAAGCAAAAATTAAAAACCACCAAATTCTGCACAAAAATTTATTCATTATGAACTATTTTAATCACAAAAAAGTGGCACTCACCTCTCAAAAATTGTTCTCCCTTTTTCGGAAAAATATTGCAAACCATGTACACTTGTGCAGCTACAATATTCTCGAAAATATATTCGAATATTTTGAACGAAGGAACCATTTTCTGAACTGCTTGATTTATTTGTCATGTTATTTAAGCTGTAATTAAGTACAGAGAAGTATATGAAGGTATTTTTTTCGTAAGCATCCTATTTAAATTCAAAGGGGCACCTATTCTCTGGGAAGTTTTAGTGTTGCTCTTCTCTACGTGTAAATGAAAATCTAAACGCTAAAACACTCGTCAGCATGGAAAATCAATTTCGTTGTAGACAGGATACAGCGCAAATATTTAAATATGGTCTTATTGAGATTTGGGTATATAGGTATATCTGTTAGACAAGACAACAAACTGCAGCCATACTTAATTAAAAGTAAAATAAAACTCCTTCTTATATATTATAGATTTAGCGGTTACAATTTCGATCAAAAATTATAAAAGATTAAAACTGTCTAACTAAAGCGCTTTCCTCCTTTCACTGAAACTTAAAATTAGAACAAAATAAAACTTATATTAATTTTGAAATTATATTACAACTAAATACAAATTAAGTATGCTTTCCACTTGTGTACAAGTAGTACATAGAAAATTATTTTGATATCAACAGTCACTCTAAAATTTATTCATAACTTTTTTTTATTTTTTACTTCCTAAGCGAAAACTAGATAAAATAAAAAACTAGATCTTCCGTTTCCGTTTATCTGTCACTGGTGCTTTATTAGACTGATAACATGAGAAACCACGAAACAGATTTCTGTAAAATTTTAGACTGGTTCAAAAATGTCGTGTAGATGTTAGATAAACTCTATTCAAATGTGTCCCAAAAACCCGGAATAAGTTACAATAAAGATATGTAATATTAAAGTAAATGTAAAGAGGCATACAACGCGTATGTTTCAAGTGAGTTTTTCTTTACAAATTTTTTTGATGACGTCATCAAGATTTTTGCAAGGACACGTATATATTCATTTCAAAAGGTTCACTGTAATAGCAACAATAACAATACTGAATTTCAAATTTTCGGGAAAAAGGAGGGGGTCGTTCTTGATTTAATCAATAAAATTATAACGTCTACAAACACACTGGACATAGCAAAATATGTAGTAATTTTCAATATTTAAAGAATTTCCGGATGTTTGTGCCATAATTATCAAAATTAATTTTTTTATCTCCCTCCATTGTATCAAACGTATCAAAACTTACATCTGAAGATGTTGTGTCTTAGCTATATCGTTGGTAAGGTCTCGATAAAAGCAGAGACCAAATCATCATCATTTAGACGTTTTGTTTACACCGTTTCCGTGGAAACCGCGTCTCTAGTCGCTGTATTTGGCTGGAATCGGGTCACATTTGAAACAGTGAGCACTAGCAGTAATTCGATAACGAGAGTTCAGTTTCATTTTGCGCCAATGAAATTGTTTGATTTTAAATAAAAATAATGAATTCAGTTGAATATCTAATAAAAATCCGTCCTCTGTGTTACGATGATAAAATTGTAGTGAAAAATTTAGGGAGAGTCGCCCCCGATTTATTCATAAAAAAAGTGATCATGGCAAAACGAGATATGATAAATTTTTGTGGATGTGCGGTTGTGAAAAAAATAATGAATTGTTTTGTTAAATGTGTCTCTTCAGTAATGAATTAAAATCAAAGGTATGTGAACAATTATTTTTCTACTTTTATTAAATGTATTTTTATATTTATTTCCGTCACACAATTTCGTCTATTTATTGGTAACAACCTGTTTTATACTTTCATATTTAACTCATCAGTCAAAATGTGTCCCATTTCGAAAGGTCACGAGCCACCACTGATATTTTGGACAATTTCGATATGATTTATTCGGCAAATTTTGAGATGACGATACGTGTTTAATAAAAATCGACACAGACGACAACCGGACAGACAGACAGACAAACAAACGGCAAACAGACCGTCATCGTCAGGGGGAAATGGAAGAATTATTTTTTCATGCTATAAGGGTCATAAAACGACGAAAAAATATTAAAGTGACCGTTCATCTAATGGAGCCTGGTACAATCCTTTCTTAGTTTACGCTGGGGAAGCAAATCGTTATCACTTAATATAATATAATAGGAATACAATTCTGGGCAAAAACAATAAGAAACAAAACTTTCAAATATACTTATTACTAGTAATCTAGTAATTAGACTGTAGTTCCGTTAAGAAAAGACCAGGCTACTGTGAAACACGCGTTCCATGTTTTTACTTCCCGAGGGTAAGTGAAGGAAGTGTAGGTAAGCAGAGAAATATGTTGTGCCTCGGTGGGATCCGAACCCCACGCCTCTCGCTCTCCGGGCAAGCATCCTAACCGCTAGACCACGAGGCCACTTATCTTTCTCTGCTTACCGACGTGTTATTGTGCCGCCACAGAAGTATTGCAATCGAGTCCATCGGACGAATCGCCACTTTTATGTGTTCCCGATGTCTCATGACTCCTACAGTACGAAAAAAGCAGTCTCCCGTTTCCGTCTGTCTGTTTATCTGTCTGTCTGAGGTCTGTATCCATTTTTATTAGATATGTAATCTCCGAAGCTGCTGGACCGATTGTTGTCATCAAATTTTTGTATGTATATTAGAAATATCATGTAGATGTCATAATATCAAGAACATTTTGTTCTATTGTGGTTTAATTAATAATTTTAGTCCTGTTTTATGAAGACAAACTCATTCAAATCAAACTAATTTCTACGTGACATTCTTTCGATGTATAAACATAAATAAACACTTGAGCTTCGGATCGCTATTACCTAGTGCTGAAGGACAAGAGTTACTTATGCCTCTGGTTTTTACTTTACATCGGTTATTAAAAAATCAAATTTTATACATTTTTTAAAGAGCTGGATTTGTCGGATTATACTTATAGCCTTCAACCAAGTTTTTATTGATCAAATTAAGAACCTCATTTTGTAGGAAATGTTAGAATACCTACGGTTTTATTTAATTATGATCAAATAAAAATAATAATAATCATATGCAAAACATTTTGTTCCATTGTGGCTTAATTAATAATTTTAGTCTATTGTTCTCATTCAAAATGAACAGATTTCTACGTGACATTCTATCGATGTATAACCATAAACAATCGAAGTTAAGCATGTACAGTATACACTCATAATAATACACCCTTTTCCGTTGGTTATTTGCTTTGAATACATTTTATATTGTTTTTATATATGCGGACGACACCTCCTTGGAATTTGCACACCGGTGGAGCATTCGACATTTACACCACTGGTTTTTACTATACAAAGCGGAATTTGTTAGATTGTACTTCAAGAGCGAGGGAAGTTCTGTCGAAATAACCTTGGATCAATTTTTTTATTGTTAAACGTTAACATTTGCAGCTCAAAATTATTTTTTCTGTGGGTAAAATATCAAAATGTTTTAAGCATACGTCGTTTAGTTTGGTAGACGCATCCACGGAAACGACGGGTCTCTATACCGGGCTCTCAGTTATAATAATTACATAAAAGTCATAAAACATCCATTTAATTAAGCAACTCTATTAATTTTCGAAAACTCACCTTTTACACGCACCCTGTACATTAACTTTAACAAGAACATTAATGGTTGGGAATAGTAACAGAGTTAAAAAATTGGTCTAAAGAGTTTAGACAGTACTTCCCTCGCTGTCGGAAACGTGACGACTGCATGCCTATTATGTTTTTTTTTTCGCAGTGGATTGCAAAGAATTCGGTTTTGTAGTTCCTGAGTAAATCAATAAAATAAATTTACGCATTCATTAATTTTTTTGAGTCACCCTGTATATGCAAATCCAAAAAAAAATCAATGGAGTGATAAATCACAAGTACAGACTCATCATATTTTGTACAGTTTAGATAGGATTTATTCGGCAAACTTTCGAGCTGACGTCGTCAAGTTTTTGGAGGGGATAAGCAAATATATTTTGACTAAACATTTATTATGCTCTTTATGACCTTAAAACATCTGCAAGATTTCAGAGCATTCGGTTTTGTAGTTCCTGATTAAATCAATAAAATATATTTACGCGTTCATTAATTTTTTTGAGTCACCCTGTATATGCAAATCCAAAAAATATGAATGGAGTGATAAATTACAAGTACAGACTCATCATATTTTTACAGTTTAGATAGGATTTATTCGGCAAACTTTCGAGCTGACGTCATCAAGTTTTTGGAGGGGATAAGCAAATATATTTTGACTAAACATTTATTATGCTCTTTATGACCTTAAAACATCTGCAAGATTTCAGAGCATTCGGTTTTGTAGTTTCTGATTAAATCAATAAAATATATTTACGCGTTCATTAATTTTTTTGAGTCACCCTGTATATGCAAATCCAAAAAATATGAATGGAGTGATAAATTACAAGTACAGACTCATCATATTTTTACAGTTTAGATAGGATTTATTCGGCAAATTTTCGAGCTGACGTCATCAATTTTTTGGAGGGGATAAGCAAATATATTTTGACTAAACATTTATTATGCTCTTCATAACCTTAAAACATCTGCAAGATTTCAAAGCATTCGGTTTTGTAGTTTCTGAGTAAATTAGTAAAATAAATTTACGCATTCATTAATTTTTTTGAGTCACCCTGTATATGCAAATCCAAAAAATATGAATGGAGTGATAGATCACAAGTACAGACTCATCATATTTTGTACATTTTAGATATGATTTATTCCACAAACTTTTGAGCTGACGTCATCAAGTTTTTGGAGGGGATAAGCAAATATTTTTTGACTAAAGATTTATGATGCTCTTTATAGCCTTAAAACATCTGCAACATTTCAAAGCATTCTGGTTAGCAGATTAAAAATTAAATTTCAAAATGTTGTTTTATAATTTTGATTTTTTTTCCAAAAATCTGGACGTTTCGAGTGAAAAGTCGATTCGGAGTTGTAAACTACATGTGTAGGACTATGTTATTTTATACAATTGAAAACCCATTTACTATGTACAATTTTGAAGTGACGTCATCGCATTAGTGGTGGGGATGATTAGACAAATTTTGGTTAGCGTTTTACCATCTACATGATATTCTTAATATAAGTACAAAATTTCACAACAATCGGTCGAGTACTTTCGGAGATTATCTGTCTAATAAAAATCCGGGACAACAGACGGACAGACGGACGGACAGACGGACAGACGGACAGACGGACAGACGGACAGACGGACGGACAGACGGACAGACGGACAGACAGACGGAAATGGGAGACCTATTTCTTCGTCTTCTAGGGGTCATGAAAGATCGAGAAAACGTAAAAGTAGAGAGTCGGCCGACGGACTCGATTACAATACTTCCTTTGCTTACGCTCGGGAAGTAAAAATTATATATAACTATGTGATTATGCATATTTATCAAAGTATCAAATGCATAAATTTCAAAAGTGGAGAAGTTGTCTATATAAATCATCATTCATCAATAACGTGAATCAAGAATGATTTCTTACTACGAAGCGAATATGATAAACAGTTTTATCAAATACCCATAAAGGGTGAAAAGTTGAAAAATTTATTGTTATTATTCATTACCACTTATCCACTTTCCATATAACCACTTATTACATAAAAGCCTCACAGATGCGAAATATAAAATTTCCAAAACTGAAAGAACCGACACGCCGGTAAATAATCCCAAAAGCCCCCCAAAATTGGCCAAGAAATCAGTTGGTCCATAAAATTCGTTTCTTTGGGAGGTTATAAAATCATCACTTTTAAAATAAACAGTAAGTGAAGAGAAGTACATTCTACAAAGAAATTGTTTATAATCAATACTTTATCAATTTTACTAAAGTATTACTGATCTATAAATTCAGTGTCATCACTCCAAACTGTATACGCTTTTAACCAGTCCCAATCCGTCTGAGATGTGTCAACGTCATATGTTAGATCTGTACAAACCGGCAAACAATCACAATGTGCTAGAGATTTTTTCTTTTTCTTTGATTTATTCTCTTCTATTTTCTTTTTCAAGTTCTTTGTCTGCATGTCTCCTAAAACATCGTATTAATTAATTACACCGGTTTTATATACAAATTTTGACGAAATATTAAAGTTATTTTATAAAAAACAATCTATTACTTAATAAAAAAGCAGCTTAAATTTTGTTGACAAATATTTGAAGCAGCATGTACAGAGGCCGATTTTCTGGTTGGTGGCAAAGAACCAATTTGAATCACCGTAAATTATTACTTTAGTTTAGAATGTTTAGATAGTAATAAAATAAAGGTTCAAACGAATGTGCCAACAATTGTAACCTACTACAAAATAAATGACCACTTTTTCACGTTCTGTCACCAACCCACGAACTGACTTATGATTATGAAACGCTCAATATAAGTGTTTTGATCTTACTTTTGTTTACTATCTATACTACTACTATGTTATTATTACTTTCAGCTTTTTGGGTGCATTTTAACTTTTCAGGCCCACAAATATTCGTAGTATTATCTCGAGGCATGAAGAAGTGAACACACTCGCACGCATCCAGCGTATAGTTTGTTAAACATTCTATGTCACAGTTAACTGTATTGTAGATCTTAAAAAACTGTAAATTCCTCTCAGTTTGAAAATAGCATCGTCTTCTTTCTTGATCATAAGCTCTAACAGATTCTGAAGTCGTAATCATTGATGGTTGTATTGCTGCTACTACTTTTTGGTTCAAGGAAATTCTAAAATGCTCTTGACTCGGTGTGGGAAAAGTCGTTGGAGAATGTATTGCAACTTTGAAACCCTGTAAGGAATCATCTTTGCACAAATAATCTAAATCTTCCTTAAAGGTAGTAAGTTCGAATGAAAATCCATTTTTAGCTCCTGCTAATAGTGCACGTCGTGGATATGTCAACAGACCGGCTTCTTCTGTATATCCATATTCTGTAGACCAGTTTGCTGAATACCGGAAAAACTGATGATAGTTGCGATAGTGCACACTAAAACATATCTGTTTAGGTAAATTATTTGAGAAAAAATCTGTATCTACTGTGCGTTTTTTACACTTACACATTTTCTCTAAATATTTCACTTCTATCCAACATATTAAAAGCGTAGCAAATTCCTTCCTCTGTAAAAATTGGCTTGAAAATTTCTTCACACGATAGTTTATTTCCCTGATAAATGCAGTTTTCTATGTCAAACATAGGTTTTACTGCATGTATAAAATCATAAAATTCTTCCGACACCGTGAAGGTACTAGATGCGTCACGGTAATGACTGGTACAAATCAAAGACATGTAATCAAACTGAGTACTTCTAAAAAAAAAAACAACATGACTTCATTAACGAAAATAAAAAGGTTTTATGACTATTATGACTAAGTTTTCTTCAAAAAATGAATAAAGCATTTGAGAAAGTTCATATTCTTTCCACGTAAAAGTACTAGGTATTTTCATTATATCATTATCAATGAATTACTTTCACCTACTATGAGATTGTGATGATTTTTTCCGAGTAGTACGTTTAGAATATTTATTTATTTCACAATAGTACTTAAATATGCGATCAAGAAAAATTCCTTGAGCTGGCATTGAAGACAAGTGATTAACATACATTTGTTAGCTGTACATTATGAAATAATATTCACAGAAACCAATTAAATTACCTAACATTTTACTCAGTATTTAATTAATTTCAGCCTAAATTCGAATTTTTTAATAAGTATTCAGTGCCACCAGCCATTTCCATTCTTCACAAATATGTAAAACCGTTTTATAAAAGACCCAAAGAAACAGTACCTAGTTCTGCTTACAAGTATTATCACTTTTCATACTTTACCTCCCGTTTAAAAAGCAAATCTAAATTTGTATGTTGCATAACATTCAAATAAAACACCCTATATGTCTAAAAATAATTTTAAATTCCAGATCGTAGTCCCAAATGTAAGTTCTAAAGTGTGCGTTTTATCAGACTGTGGAAAACCATTTTCTGCATAATTCATACAGAATTCATAGTCTTCCATGCATAGACCTTGAAACTCCTTGATATATTGTTGTTTTCATGCATTTTGTAAAGTATCTCTAGCCTATTCAATGTAAAAATAATCAACGCGCTAACGAAAACACAATAAATTATCTCCACAAACAATAAACAAAATTTAGCAAATCGAGTCAAAAATATGTTAAAATGCTTAGATTATTCAAATATTTATAAAACGAAACCTTACTCCAAGTTAGTTATGTTTTTTGACCTTTCCACTTTTAATGCCAAGTCTGTAAAATTGAATTTTTTTCGTGCTGATTTTATTTCTGGACAAACTGTGACAGCAGGAAATGGTATTTTGTATATCGGTGTTCCTGTGTTAGCAAAACTGACAATGACGGGACTTTGCTCCCATTTTTCATAAACCATATAAATTGACAACACACAAACTCCTAAAGAAACAATGAAGACGATAAACCACCACAACCTAAAAATTAAATAATTAAAATATCAAGACTTTACATTACGTTACTTTTCAAATAATGTCCTTTTTTCAACAAAATATCTAAATCCATGTATTGTAGTAGAATTGCAATATTCTCTAAAATAAATTTTAGTATTTTTCATAAAAGATCTCATTTTGTTATTAGCGCTATCAATGTGCACAACACAGAAACATCATTCGTTGACGTGTGTAACAGTTTTAAAAGCACAAACGTTCCGAGGAGTGCCAAAATTTATTTTAGGGGGACAAAATATACATGAATAAATGCGCGATCTCAGCTGAGTAATTAACATAATGTTAATTGCTGCTGTTTTGTGTCACGTAACAAAACAAAATTTTCATTTGCGCAGTAACCAAAGGAATATTTTTTTATAATTTAGATTGGATGAATTTAAAAATTATCAAAAGAAAGATTTATTTTGGTGGTATGTGCTAAATACGTGGTATTAGTCCCCAAATTTAACTGTTGTTATAAAATTTATAGACAAAGGAATAAGTAGAGAGCTATCAAATTATGTCGTATTGACGTTCCAGTTTTTTCTTTCATGTTGTACATTATGGGTCAATCCATATGTCAACCAGGCAACATTAATTTTGTTAGAATTTTTTTACCGTGATCAGGTTTGTATCCCGTCGTAAAATTTTGAGAGATAAAATAGAAAAAATTTTTTTTTCACAGGTTTTTCCAAAAAAAAATCTGTTCGTTGAAATAAACGTTTTTGAAAGTTTCAAAAATTTTAAACTTTTTTTTTATAAAGTAGTTCATGTCATATATTTTATATTAAAGCCTGTTCTATATTGTACTGCTTTAAAATGAGCACCGTTCCATTGTCATTATACAGATAATAATTACTGAGAAATAAGCAATTATATGTCAACTTGTCATGAATTTTGTACTAAATTCAAGCTACATTTCTTAAAAAACTAAACGTTTAAAAAATCTAAGAATATTTTTAGAATTATCCTTCTACTGGGCACTCACTGATAAAAATATAATAAACATTAAATATCAGCTTTCAAAATTTATTTTTAGTTGGTCGATTTCATATATAAAATTCCGTTTTAAAAAACACATCAAATCTTGAAAGTATATAACCAAAATACATACTTGACTTTTTTAGAACAAGAAATTCCAAAGTAGTTGGAATGAAGTTATTTAAGATATTGGGTTTTCTTCTACATAGCATAATATGTATAACCTCTTTTCTTCGATTACAACATTGCTTGTTCTATTTCTTTATTGGCGTTTATACGTGACGCATCGAGTATTATTATTGTTTACATTTTTGTAAAATATTTGTAGGACAATAATACAAACAAGTTGAAATTTAGTGTATTTTTCTAAATCAAGCAAGCCGACGTAAAATTGATTGCCTACTTACAATTCATTGATTTCTTTTTTTATCTGAACATAGAAATTAAGCCTATAATTATTTTCATACATGATAAATGACTCTCTAGATACAGAAAAGTCCACAAGTAATAAAGAGCCTGAATAAATGCAACCCAAAATACATTTTCACCACTACCTTGGATATTATTATAATTACAATTGGAGCATTAAATTAATTAAAAGTTTTGACAAAAACTTCAAATTGAAAGATATTTTTTTTACTAATGCAATAAATGTTCGAAGTGGTGACCCATAGCAATCTGAACTTCAAACTGACGGAAAGTTCAAAGTCTGTCAATTTCTGTCATGCGTATTATACAGCGTGTTATTGAAAGGTACGTACAAAATAAAATCGGTAATTGGTCTCGAAGTATAGATGCTAAAAGTAAAAAAAAATTCAGGTAAAAGTGTTCTTCTTTTAGAGACATAAATTATTAAAATTTATGTCCAAATTCGTTGTACGCCTCTGATAAACAGATTATGTTTCGTTTCTATAGCAACGTTTAGTCTTGACAAAAGTTTTATTGTTACAGTTGCTAGGATTTACTAAAATAAATTAATTTTACCCATTTATCCTTCAGTAGCGTCTAAAAAGGTTAGATAAGGGTTAATTTTCTCCTTATAATTTTGATAACACAAAATAAGTTTTTCAGACTTCTTAAACTTCGCGAATAACTGTCAATTTTCTTGTACGTACCTTTCAATAACACCCTGTATGAAATGATTCAAAAAGGTGGAGCTTCTAATAGTGGGCGGTCCTATTGATTACTTAAAGAGTTTTTGAAAAAAAGTAAATTTAGTTCCAGTCACCCCCTTTCTCCATTTCACTAGTTTAATATTTTATTAATTGTAAAATAGAAATTGAATTCTGAACTGGTAAGTGGTAGAATCTAAGATTAAAAACAAAGTCAAAACTAGCCCCATCCGCCCACCCCTACTCCGTCTTGAGGACTCCTTTTATTGGTTGTGACACAGAAATTAAATCATACATTAGCAAATAATAATACGAAGAGGTAGATATGGGGTTAATTTACGGTGAATGCCAAAAGAACGCGTTTTTGGCAGGCCGTATTTATTCACGTTTTCCTGAAAGAAGGGCCCCTCCATATTTAAAAGAATAGAAAGTTTCTTGAGGGAGAACTGACCATCTACAAGAAAACCCTGAAGACGAACAGCTACCGGTGTTGAAAATAAAGAGGCAGTTCTAGAAATGGTTAACGAAAATCCCCATTGGAGTCAAAGAACAATTCCAGCAAATGTTGACGTTAGTAAAACGTCGGTGCAACGAATACTTTGTCCAAAAAAATTTCATCCCTATCACCTGACTTTTGTTCGAGAACTAAAACCCACTGACTACCCAAAAAAATTAGCGTTTTTATGATTTCGTATTTTTATCTTTCAATTTGAATCTTTTGTCAAAACTTTTGACAAGTGTTAAGGTTACTATGTTTGTAATTATACAGGGTTTCTATAAATAATTATAGGGTAGCAGTAGGTCATGTAAACGTGCCGCTTCCTTAGATCATATAATAAATAGATACCAATACTCAAACTGAAAGCTGTGACTAGACATGAAGCTAACTGTTGTCGTTTTCTACGTCAAGAGGAGTAGTATAATGCTATCCTTGTGTGATCACTACATCTTCATCTTTGTTATATGCATTTCATCTGTATATGTCTATTTCACTTCCATCCTTGTACCGCACCAGCGCAACAAATCGCTTTTGACAGATGTTTCTTCTAACCTCTCTTTCGAGTTGTCGTACGAAAAACAATTTTAGAATTTAGAACAAAGATCCTATTTTAAGTGATGTAACCATAAAGGATCACAATTGCTGCCCAATAATTTACTATTCCTTTCATTATCTATTGTGAATTATTTATAATATCAAGCTGTCAACATCTTTCGTACGAAGTTAGTTCAGACATACTTCCTAAAATTTAGGCGCGCAAAATTCAAATAGTGATCAGGTAAGGATAGCTTCATTGTAATCCCTCCATGCACGAGAGAGATGTGTGACAGGAGGATGTCGTCACAGGCTCTGCTAGGGAAAGAACACGGCATGGTGGTATCTATTTATTATATGATCTAAGGCCGCTTCTCACCTCCTGAACGGAGGTCTGTGCTAAATGCCCAAGGACGCATGACAAAGACCAAACGCATCTGTATAACTGGTTGCTTAAATGCTTCACATCTTTTTAAAAAATAAAATTAATTTATTACAATAAAAAGAAACACATTTATTGCGGTTAAACATCACAGTAAATGTTGCAAATGTTCATCATTTTGTTCAAGAGACATGTTCACTCTCTTTTTAATTTCAAAAATATTCGGTCACATCCTTTCGTCAAAACTTTGGACCCCGCTGTTCAATTGTTCAATTCTACTCAAGTCTTCCACGAGATTTATCTTTGTTGACACTGCCAGTTCGAACAAATCTGTTGATTACATCTCTAATGTGAGGCTCTAACGATGTTTTTTGAATTATTAAATCAGGGTATTTGGCCAGATACTCTTGCTTACAAACTATTACAGGATATAGCCACTCTTCCTTTCCGAAGTCCCACTGCGATAACAAGATATAACGATGAAAGAAGTGTCTTGTTCAACAGAATAAACTATTTGGATCAATGAGAATTACTGTAATTTGCACTTGAAAAACGTTAAAACAATAAATCCGACGACTTTAAATGACAGGTTACAAATAATATTAGACATTAATGTGACAAGTGAGAACTGTCATAATGAGGCATAATCACGGGCGTAATTTCAGTGAAGTGGGATTTTTGAAATCCATGGCCAACTACGCCCTTAGAATCATTTATAAAAGTCCTGTATAATAATATCCAAGATAGTGGTGAAAATGTATTTTGGGTTGCGTTTCAAATTTATTCAAGCTCTTTATTACTTGTAGACTATTCTGTATCTAGAGAGTCATTTTTACCTGAATTATACGGTCTAAGAACGCGGTAAGGGACCATTCAGGTAGTGGGCGCAATTCGGACATTTTCCCAGCGGTAAAAGCACGCAACTCCTATCTTTTTCAGGTCATGTGCGCAATTCGGACTCCCCCGTTATAGTTACGATTGGTAAACTTTTCAAGGTCAGTCGCAAAGTGGTTGAATGCAACACTAACCAGCTGCACATGTACTTGTAAATTTAACGTGAACAGGTGTTAGTCTCAAGTTGCGTCGCTCAGGCATTCGATGCATTATGAGTAGGAAAAAAATTAATCGCCCTTTTGAAAATATTTTTTCCGGTAATTGTTAAGTAACATACCCATATTTTATACTAATTTCTGTTGTATTTAAGATCAGTCACAGTTTAACATAGACATAACAAGCAGAATGAAAATGGGGTTTATCAAGAAAAAGAATCGTGAATTTCTTGGAATTTATAGAGAGAAGATAGATTTGTTTTTAAACGAAGTTTATGAATTAAAACACATTGTTAGAGTTTACGAAATACAGAGAGCTATGAAGAAGATTAAAATTTAGAAGCTTATTTGTAGTTACGTACTAATGCTAAAACAAATAATATATTTTTTAATTGACAGTTCTTTTAAACGTCTTCTGATATTAGTTTATACCCACCCAAGAACTTAATAATGGAATCAATTTATTGGCCAATATTTTTTTTTGAACATCCATCTTTAGAGTGAAATAATGCTTAAGAATTCCTTTATACATTATTATTTTTGAGTAATACACATCACTAGTAAAAACTTACCAATCATTATCATTAAAGGATGTACAATGTTTTCGTATAATAAGCAGAGGGAAAGTACTTTCACAAGTTTATACACAATCATTTCCACGCAGCAACTTGACTAGCTCCCCAACGGACAGGGTAAGTTCCTTCATCAAACCTGCAATCGTCGAAAATAGTGACAAATGGGAGGGCGATATTTCATTCCCCTACCATAAAGTTGGCGATATCGAGAGAGGTTCCGTCAGGAGAAACTTGTATACAGCAACAGGAACAAGTAAGTTATAGCTATTAACATACCTAGGATGTAATAAATGTCATAATACCATAATAGCCGCAAATGTCAGTTCGAAATTCGAGAGATAGCGAGGATTTTGAGACATTTAAGTTTTTAATGTTTTATAGGTTTCTGTTTATTGAACCAAAAATTGAAAACAGTTAAATCAGGCAAATTTGCTTTGAAAAAGATTGAGCTGATCGCGTTTGCACGAAATGTTTCCCTGTCATGGTTACATTTTGTTGTTTGTTAAAAAAAAAATTGTGGCTTTCCTACCAGGCAACTTTTATAAATGTAAACAGGCATTTAATAGATAGAAATCGTTAAAAAATATTATATCACCAAAAATATGGTATAAGTATTTCTTTTTTCAATTTTTAATTATAAATATTCTACTTCATATAATTTAAATAAAAATCGTAAATCCAAACAACTTGAGTTTCTAATGAATATGAAGATTCAGAAGGTGGTAAACATAGTCATAAACGTGGGATTCATGTCGACCTGAAACACCAGGTCTTAAATCTTGTCAAAATTTTTATCTTCCCACTCCCCGTATTAATATTGTAAAACATTCGCCTATTTATGAAATGTGCTCATTATATAATCAAAACTTATATGATCTGGAATTATTTCGTTAAGAAAAACTCCTCCTATCTGGGTAAAGTAGTAATCTTATAGCTACTGACATGATTTTAGTTACTTTCATTGCACCTCCATCGTTACTAGTTGGTCTGTCATTGGGTTTGTTTTCAACCTGTTGACCAACTCACACATAATAATAATAATAATAATAATAAAATTGCATCAGCAATACCTACATATCACGCAGTAATTTGGTATATTTCAAGTTAATATTCAAACATTTTACATATTAACGCAACTGTGTTTAATTTGGTAGGTGTAACAACGAAACCGAGTCACTATTCCGTGTTTTATGTAATTCGGGTATTGCATTAGTTAATTAACGTTTGTTTTTAACTGGGTCACCAATGCATTTTTGAGTTCAAGAATACAATGTACAGTAGAAAAACATAAAAAAAAACTGATCTAGGGGTGTTTAGGAAGAACTTCCCTCGCCTCTGACCTACAGTACGACATATTCGAAAAATTATAAAATTTGTTTTTGCGAACTTTATTTTCTTTGTGATTTTATTGTTCTTAAAATAAAGAAATGTGTGTAATGTTAAATTAAAGTGCGTTCGCTTATTATAAAATTTATTGATTTTGGATAGGTGAAATGTAGGTAATACTAATAATAACAGAGTATATACAGGGTGAGTATTATAATAACGGGACCCTGACCAAATTTCAATGCAACACAAAATACAAATCTCATATGTAAATCTTTTTATATTTTATGTTTCTAAAATGTACAAACATAGTTACCTAGTAGTTAATTTTGACATTCGCAATAATTCTATTTATCAATTTTGAGCTATGATAAGTTTTTAGTCTTCGCGATAAGATGAGGGTTAAATACACAAACGTTTGATATGATCTTGATTTTTGGAGAATGCAGAAAAAATACCGTTGCAGCAGCAAATCTCTACGAAAGAAGATATCCCGATAGGCGACATCCATCCGACCAAATCTTTAGATGTTTAAAAACGTGAACACAAAATTGGCCGAAAGAAACAAGAAATAGAAGACTTACCGCTACTGGTGTCGAAAATGAAATTCGTGTAATTGAAGTCGTAGACAATGACCCGCATGTGAGACAAAGATTTATAGCACAGCAGGTAGGAATATCTCACTCTTCCGTTTCAAAAATTTTGAGAGCCAAAATTTATTTATTACATTTCTTTGAATTAATATGTGTTTTTTTAATATTTGATTTGTGAAATTTTGATTGGCGTCTTTCAGAAACAATGACAACTGGTAAGGAGAGCATCTGCGTTGATCCTAAAAACGTATGTGTTTATTTTGGAATCTAGCAATAACTGATAGATGTATGTTGTGTTGCATTGACAATTTGACAGCGTACCGTTATTATAATAGTCACTCTGTATACAGCATTTCAAAATTTTCTGGTACTGTTCTTAAGTTGATTGATAAAAAAATTGCCTCGTTCTTTAATTTTATTAGAGCAATTCAAAAAATTTATTATGTAATGATAAACTAGAAGTATACAATATTTTGTACATTTTGGATACGATTTATTCGGTAAAATTTTGAGATGTCGCCATCACTGGGGAGATCCATACTCGGATAGATTTTGATTAAAAGGATTTACCATGTTTACGTTAACCATAAAAGATCTGCAAGATTTCGTAACATTTGGTTTTATAATTTCAAAGTTAAATTGCAAAATGTTGTTACAAAGTTTAGATTGTTTTCCAAAAATCTAAATCTTTAGGGTAAAAATTCAAGACGGATTCATAAACAACACTTGTAACAAACAAAAAGTTGAATTACAAATCATTGTTCCAAACGTTAATCTTAATACAGCAAAAAAAATTGGTCACAGATGAATTCGACAGAACTTCGCCCCTGAACTACAGTCCAACAAATCCCACTTCTTTGAAAAATTACACAAGTTTATTTGTGATAACCTCTATACACAAAAAATATAGACAATAGCAATAACAGCGTAAGAAAAAAAAGGCAGAAAAGTAAGATTAAAAGCACTGAAGAAAACATTACTACTTCATATTTATATTTAATAAGTACAAGCATAGTCAATATAATACAATTTAAAATTCACATGGGAATAAATAATAATTGCTTTACTCAAAAATCTGTGAAATACGTATGCAGTGAGATCCAGAACTGTGGAATAATAAATATAAAATGATACAACATGAAATAAAATGGTCATTTAACGAATGATAATACCTATTCCTTTCAGTTAAACAACTTCTAAAATGAAAAAAAGTCGTCATTCACTGACTTTTAGTTTTGCTGGGATTACTTTTTAAATTTTATTCGTGCACCCAAAAACGAAATGATACTCAACCATTTTAGTAAATCCAAGTTTTGTCGCGGAATTTTGAAATTGGAGGAATTTTCTCAAAAAAGTAATTTTTGGTGCAGCAACATTTTTTGTTCACACAAAATTTTGCAACCGTTTACCTCCCTTATACTACAGAAAAAAGTTGCTTTTGGGTTTGTGTAGAGAACACATACATTTAAGCTACAAATTGAGTTTATTTCCAATTTATCAAAATCAACACCTAATGTTTTGTTTAAAAAAGAATTAAATATCAAAAAGTATTGAATTGTGTTCTTGGTTAGGTCTTGCGCATTTTTTAGGTGCTAAGTTTCTCGTGAATACCCTTGTATACACATATACTTAGTATTCTAATTACAAAGAAACCCAAATCAATTTCTAAAGTAGGTATTTGTACCGTACCGATCTATAGGAGTGAAACTAAATTACATTTTATTATCTGTGAAACCTAACTGCATGCACTACCCAAGCAGAAGAGTTTTTACAACTTAAAATTAATATATGCTCATTATCATTATATATTTTCCTAATAAGTTACAAAGATTATTCGTTAACACCTGTCCACTTTCCATATAACCTTTTATTACACAGAAGTCTCACAGATGCGAAATATAAAATTTCCAAAACTGAAAGAACAGAAACACCCGTAAATAATCCCACGAGACCTCCAAAATTGGCCAAAAAATCAGTTGGACCATAAAATTCGTTTCTTTCAGACGTAATAAAGTCATCAGCTTTAAAATAAATAGTAAGTGACGAGTGATGTGTTCTGGAAAATAGATTGTATATTATCTATGATTTATGATTACCACTTTAACAGAATATTACTTTGGTATTAATTTTTCAAAGCCCAATGCTGTATACCACTGTTTCCAGTCCCAGTCTGTTTGAGAAGTTTCAGCGTCATACACTAAGTCTGTACAAAGTGGCAGACAATCGCAATCTTCCAAAGATTTACTCTTTCTCTTTGACTTATTTCTGTTATTTATTTTCCGTTTCAAATTTTTTGTTTGCATATATCCTGAAACATGGTATTAATCTTAAAAATTATTTCACTATAAATACACTAATAACAACAAAGAAAATTACAACACAGAGTGTTAGTTTACTTTTTCTACAAACAAATTTTGAGTGATCGTTTCAAATCCAACTCAAATTTATTGATATAGGTTTACTTTTTAAAATATGTATATGTCAATTAGTACAAGAGTACAAATAAGGGATGCCGTCTTTTATAAACATTGTTTTAGATATGTTCCTCTTGTTCCTAAGGCACATGGTTCCAATAAATTAAATTTTTCATTTCTTTCTTAACTCAGATGACTTAATAGCAAAAGTTTAACTTAAATTTTAATCCTAGAACTGATTTACGACTTATTTTTTTCTAATTAATTAGGTAGATGTAAATACCAAATACATCTTCTTCCAAATGACCTATTTAAAATTGTAGATCGACACAGAAAAAAGTTGTGTTTCATGTTTAGTCTACCAAATTCATTTATGATTATTATTAGACACTCTGCACAGCAATTTTTCAAGTTTTAAAACTAATATATATTTATTACTTTCAGCTTCTTTGGTACATTCCAAGCTTGCACCGCCACAGATGTCCGTAGTATTATCTCGAGGCATAAAAAAATTCACACATCCACACCAATCTAGCGTGTAGTTAGCTAAACATTCTATATCACAGTTAACTGTATTATAGATCCTAAAATATTGCAAATTTCGTTCTGTTTGAAAATAGCACCGTCTTCTTTCTTGATTATAAGCTCTAACAGATTCTGAAGTCGTAATCATTGAGGGTTGTATTGCTGCTATTACTTTTTGATCTAAAGGAACCCGAAAATACTCTTGACTAGGTGTGGGAAAAGTCGTAGGCAGATGAACTAAAACTTTATAGCCTTGTAAAGCATCCGCTTTGCACACATAGTCTAAATCTTCCTCAAACACCATAAGTTCGAACGTAAATCCATTTTTAGCTCCTGCTAATAGTGCACGTCTGGGATACGGCAGTAAACCTGCTTCTTCTGCGTATCCGTGTTCTATGGACCAGTTTGTTGAATACCGAAGAAACTGCTGATAATCACGATAATGCACACTGAAAGAATTTTGTTTTCGTGAATTACCTTAGTTAAAAATATAGTAAAACTCTATTATGTATTCTTGGTACTTACACATTTTCCTTAAATATTTCACTTCTATCCAGCATATTAAAAGTGTAACACACTCCTTCTTCCGTAAAAATCGGCTTGAAAATTTTGTCACATGTTAATTTTTTCCCTCGATAAATGCAGTTTGATACGTTAAACATAGGTTTTACTTCATCTACAAAATCATAAAACTGTTCCGATACCGTGAACGTGCTCGATTCGTTAAGGTATTCATCACAAATCAGAGACATGTAATCAAACTGGACACTTCTGTAACAAAAAACAGTTAAGCGACCGGACTCATGCGGCTAAAGTGGCAAACCACTAGCGCAATAATGCACCTGAACCTGGCGTTAGAGTGACTAAATTTCAATTGGGTCACTCTTCAGTACAAAAAGTGTTACTTTTCCTTCAAATTCACGCATATCTAGCGACGTCACATTAAATACAAAATGCAATAATTGTCGCATTACAAACTCACTTTCTGTGCAAGACAATTTTGAGAGAACAATCATTGTTAACGTACATAGAGTTAATTCGATTTAAAAATTATCCTCACGAATCCGGTTTCAAATAAGTCAAACATTATGAAAAAATTAAGTTCAATTAAATTTTAGTTCAAATCTCAATTTTATATTTTGACAAACACAAACTGTTCGAAGGAATCGGAGACTACGGTTCTAGAAAACGAATAATAATATAATAATCAATATTGTAAACAAGACCTTAGTTAATGTGCCTGCCTACGTACTTATTACATTTACAGATTTTAAAGTTTTGTGGAGAAAGAAACCGTTACAATGTTTGCTTGTACATGTACCAATCTTGTACAGAATACTGAAAGGTTGCGCTAAAACACAGGTTACTTGGTAAAAATAACATTGCATATGTTCGATATTGTTGTTTTGGCAATATACATATAAAAACTTTAAGACATCGTTTAATCTCGTTAAATAAATCTCTTCACCATGTTCAACAAAAACAAATCAGCCAATTAAAACACAATTAATAATGAAAGATATTATACAAATAATAAGCATCACCTAAAGTCCTACACGAAAGATGAATATTTAAATAAAACAAAGACTTTTACATTATAAGATAATACACTTACTCTGAATCAGTCAAGTTTTTATCATTTATCTTCTTTAGTAGTAAATCAGTAAAATTGAATTTGTTCCGTGCTGATTTTGTTTCGGGACAGATTGTGATAGCAGGAAATGGTATTTTATAAATTGGGGTTCCTGTATTAGCAAAACTGACGATGACGGGACTGTCGTCCCACTTTCTATAAACCATATAAATTGATAATACACATACCCCCAAAGAGATAATGAAAACAATCAACCACCATAACCTAAAAATTAACAAAAAACTTGTACCTACAGCATATTGAAAATATTCAACAAATTTGTTACTTTTCAAAGTATGTTCTTTCTTCAGCAAAGTATCGAAATCCATGTATAGAAGTAGAATTACAATATTCTTTGAAGTACTTCTTAATATTTTTTACTATCTTTCTCATGATTATATAAATGTTATCAAAACTGACAACATGAAAAACTAATTAGCGCGAGTAACGGTCTGTTTAAAAAGCACAAACGTTGTGAGTAGGTAACGCAGTATAAAATAATGTTAACTGATTAGAAATTAGTTTTTGCCCAAACAAAGGTTGCTCGTTTTGATAAAAATACGATCTCTGGTGAATAAATAACAATTACATAAATTACTGCTAGTGTATCTCACGCAACGAAACAAAATTTGTATGTAGATTTTAGAGCGGAAATGAACAAAAAGAAACTAGTAACTAGAATTCAGGACTCATAAAAAACATTGTACCTAAAAAAAATCCACTATGATTTTAATGTTTTGATATACATTATTAGTACCTGATTTAGTTAAGACCTGATCTTAAATTTTTAAAAACTCGTTAATCGGAAAACTGTAAATGAGTCTCTCCATTCTGCCTTGCAATGAAATTCATATCGTATCGTAGTTAAGTTTATTCATATTTTCTGCAGAATTTTTCGTGTACTTGAAGATGGTAACTGTATCTTCATTCTTTAAGATAAATGGGAGATTAACGATCTGTTGGCGCCAGTTGAAGAAGTCTGCAGTGACATACTGAATAAATATACTGGAGTTTTTCATGAATATATTAAATTCTAAATAATTTTTACTGAACAAAACAATTAGGACGAAATTAAATCAAAGAGAAGTTCTAGAAAATTTATATTAGAAAAGGGGTAAAACTTCAAACAATGCAAAACTTATGTTCAACGTGTAATTTACCCTTAGGCTACCTCAAATATTTCATGATATAAGGGAATTTGAAATGTTTCATATGGCTCATGTACACTTATTTATCCGTCACCCTGTAGAAACGATTAGAAGTGAATTTCAGCAGTTTATCATTTCAAATAAAAGTAAAATCTTTGCAACAGCGAAATCAAGTTTATGAAATGTTACCTATGTAAAAATCTTTCATAATGTTTTTAGTAGTTTTTATAAATATGTGTCATGTTTATTTTAAATGAATTCTTGTTTCACAATGTTTTACATCTACTAATTAATTAATTCCCTAACCACCCATTTTACATTAGCTGATTAATGTTTCGTTCAATTGGGTCATAAATAAATTTCACAGTTCAAGGACGTGACGTAGACCCACATTAAGTCAAAATCCACAAAAAAAGTCAACATTTTAGGACCATCCAGGTACAAAAGTATATACTACAATTAATAGATGACGGCATAAGTGTACTCAATCAGGTCCTATAATTAGAATTAAACATCACTTTCGTAACCATTAACATATTACGACATAAAAAACCGGACTCCAACAATTTTTTTCCAGTTTTATCTCTCAATAAAGTAATTATTTTTTAACCTCAGACTGTCTTATTCCATCGAGAAAAATCAGAGTTTGCACGAACATGAACTGAACAAAATTTAAAAGAAGCTTTATTGATCAAGCTATTAAAAATATTTATTTTGTTGTTATCTATCTTGGCTTTGGCAAGACTATTATTTACCTTACTATAAAAACATATATCGTGTTGTCAGAATCTAAATTCGGTAAACTACTGATTTTATAGCTTTGGTTATTAAAAACAAGTTTTAATAATTTTATGCGTATAAACTGAAAAGTTCTGATATATCTTACCCTGGAATACTCAAGAAGAATTTAGAACGGACGTACTGTCACAACTCCGAAAAAAAAGCACGTTATTCGAATATCTAAAATAGAAAACTATGTTTTTTGATAATCGTTCCATCCATTACTAAAAATTGCAGGCATGTTCCTCCAAAATTATCCCGGTGTGTATACATTGTTCCAGCAGTTCTTAAAAAATTGGCCGAAGGTTATACTTCCCTAGCCCGTGAAGTACAGCCCAATATATCCCGCTTCTTTGAAAATTATAAAATTTGATTTTCCGATTTTTATTTTATCATAACCTCTATAAAAGAAAAACTGGTTGTGTAAATAACACCCCTGCAGCCCAGGCTAAAGTCACTAGATCTACTATTACTTTTAGAAAGTACGGCAAACTGCCTGTGGTCGGAATTCGACAGAGAGGAACCTAACCTATGTGTTAAACAAAGATAGCGCGAGGCTAGTAATTTTCGCTATCAAATGTAGGAACTGTCAACGAAAGTTTGATGTGTTTACGATTTGAGGTTACGACAGACTGTACTAGAATTATCGAGTTAACGGACCGGAAAGAACACTATTCCAGTCCCAAAGTAACTCCAGCCCTATTCAACGAGAAAGTGTCATCGGTAACCAGCAAACAGTCGTGGAAGACGTGTTACCACCCAGGCAATTGACGGCCAAATGACAGTAACAGGATCGCCATACTGGAAGCAAAAAATACCTGCTGTCGAAAAGACGGAGCATAACAAGGACACAGATATATTTCTATTTCATAAAAGTTACTAATTGCCACACATTTCAAGATCGAGTCACATTAGCCCAGGCGGGGTAGGAACCCGAATTCGAAAGGGAGGCGCACAAGTGCGGACAAAATGAAATATTATTAAAAAAGATGACCAACAGGAAAAATGTATTATCAGTATAAGCTTAACTTCAGTTGTTTGTGTTTATACATCAAAAGATTGTAGAAAGCGCCTGATTCGAATGATTTTGTCTCCACAAAATATAGAAGGCAACTAAAATTATTATTAATTAAGCGACAATGAAGCAAAACGTTCTGAATATTATTATTACTTTTTATTTTACTATTAATAAATATAGGTGGTAGCAACAGTACGGTATTCTCAATTTTTTGAGAAAATGGGGTGACTCGTTCTTAATTTCATCAATAAAAAAACAGTTTTTTCCAAAAACTATAAAAATGAAATTTGCAAATTTTCCTTTTTTTTCTTTGATAACCTGTAAGTTAAGATAAAGATATGTATGGACAATTAAAGTATAGATACAGAAATATGATATGAGTAATTCTAAGTGAGCTTTTCCATAATCTCGAAAATTTGAGTACCTATACATATAGTACTTATTATCTGAGTATTTATTCCAATTACTTTAAGCCCACGCGTTATCAATCAAAGCACTATCATAAAACTGTTTTGTTCACATTGTATATAACTAATGGCTCTAGAGTGATTAAATTTTCTATTTAATATTTTTTATAAGCTGATGATAATTTTCCTAAACACTAAACTTAAACCACTAAATATTGTTACGAAATAAACCCATACGACGCCTATGGGTTTTCTAGCATATATGGCGATGATGACTCATCGTCGATGACGACAGCCGAGAGGCGTTCGCTAAAGAAAAGCCTGAAAGCGGAAGTCGCGATGGGCAATCCAGAAAGACCTCGACTGCATAACTTCAAGAAGAGAAGTATTGGTTTAAATAGAGGCCACCTTCGGGAACGAATATTATTCAGTTGATTCAGTCAGTACAGTCCACGAGAGTACAGCCAAGTTGCGCCGGATTTATTAATCAGTCGTGTAAATTTGAGTTATTGAGACATAAACTGTTGAGTTTTACCCACGCCGATTTTCAATCACCGATCAACGTAACAATTTAATGAAGACTGTCTTGTTTAATAAAGGACTGCATTCAATTTATTACTGTTCACGTTATCGTACTCATAACAGAAGCGCAACTTGCGGATAATTACAACAGTTTTTTTATTTTCTTCGCCAAATTTTTCATGATACAAAAAAATAGGAAAATGTTAGCTTGAATAATGTAATTTATCCTCACTTCTAAACACCATGTTTTTAATACAAAAAAATGTAAACATAGATCCTCAAAATTTATATCATTTAATTAACTAAATAACTACTAGTAACATTTCTTTATAAAACACTTTATTACCTACTCGCAAAACTATTTTCGTAGAACCTATGATTTAAGTCCCTAACTAAGCAGATTGTGATATCAAACAACTCTATATCTGTGTGAAGGAAGTTAGTAAGAGATGAACATAGTTCTGAACAAAAACAAATAATAAATAATAACAAATAAGATTTTATTATTTCAAGTTTAATTACAGACTAAATGCTAAACAAAAATGAATAAAGCGAAAGTGTTCATTAGCGCCATACTTTTTTGTAATTTTACAAAAAATATACATAGCCTGTGCCTCTCGATGGTGAATGCAGATGATTTTTGTAATAAATAGTGTCAAATTTTAACCAGTACTTCAAAATTTTCGTGGATTCCATTTTGAAAAAAAAAAACACGAATGAGCATCTCGTCGCCATGCATATTTTTCTGACAACTTTGTTTATGCTAATCTTATTGTAGTTAGGGATCTAATTAATAATATTTGAAGAATATTGTGTAACAAAAAAAAACCTAAATCGGTCTTTCCACCATTATTCTTAATGCAGTCATTGTTAGTCAGTTGTTAATTTAATTTAATTAAATTCCTAAATATACGCACATTCTTTGTGTGCATGCGACATAACAATGGTTTATCTGCGAAACAATAATTTAAAAAGCTTCACCAAAGTTGTCTCCATTTTAGAAATTATACGTAAAATGTAAAACATCGTTTTGAAAAATCATCAAATGAAAATGTTAAAAGCAACTGTACGAAATTGCTCCTATGATAACGATTTTTCAAACATTTAACAAGTCCTGTTAATCTATAGAAGTAACACTAACTTTTGAAAAAATTGTGTAATTGACATTACAATAACACAATATAACCTTTAAAATAAAGAACACCACATTTTAATCTTCTAGCATTGATTTTTTTTGTAAAGTAAATTCAGAAACAACATCAACCAACAAACTTGCACTAGTCGTTAGTTAAATATCGACAAATTCGAAGAAGTTAGACATACTATTCAAAATTCAAACTTCACTTTAATTTAGACCTGTCAATTTATTACTAACGATAACTTGTCTGTGTAAAATGTGACCTAAGAGATTATGAATCAATTTATACGTATATAATAATTAAATCTGTCCCGCCCAATTTCTGTACAAGCGAATATTACATATCAAACGAACACTTAGAAAATAGATGATTTCCATTAAGGACAAAATTGAAAAACCAGTAAACAGACCTAGTAAACCACCGAAATTAGCAAGAAAGTCAGTAGGACCATAGAGTTCATTTCTTTCAGAGCCAATAAAATTACCACTTAGAAAGTAAGCTCTCACTTTTGATAGATGATAATTGACATTATCAGTATCGTTGACTGCATATAAGCCACTTTCAATTTCTTCAGTCCAGTTCCACACTGACTGCGAGGAACCCACTCTATATTCGATATCGCTACACATGGGCATGCAGTGACAAATATGTTGTTTCAAAGATTCCGGAATTCTCTTCTTAATCCTGTTGTATAGTCTTATCTGTTGGATCCTAACTGCAAAAAAAGCAAAAAATAAGTATATTAAAAATGTATAGTTTTGTTTTTACATTCAGCTGTTTGGGCACAATAATAGTCCGTTGCAGTACATATTCGGGTACTATTTTCTCCTAAAAAATAATCAGTGCAAAATTCAAATCTAATTTAAGAACAGGACTTACTAGGCATATGAAACAGTACACACTGACACGATAGCAATGTAAAATTTGTGAGACACTCTATTTCGCAGTGGCTTTGACTGTAAATGTTAAAATATTTTAACTTTTTCTCGCGCGGAAAATAACACTGCCTTTTCTGAGCTGGATAATTTTTAACAGCATCTGACGTCATAATCTGAGTTGGAGTGATAGTAGTACTAACAGCTCGGTTGTAAGGTATGCGAATATATTGCTGGCTTGGGCGAGGAAATCGGAGAGGTGTGTGAAATAGTATCTTGAATTCACACAAATACATCATTTTGCTTTACGTTCTGACACTACTTACTCTATAACCTTCAACTGAGCCTCTGCACAGAGTATCCAGTTTTTCGTTTTCAGTTTTCAATTCAAATTTTAAACCATACCGTGCCCCTGCTAAAAGTGCACGCTGTGGGTAAGTTAAAATGTCGGCAGTGTCTCTGTATCCATCCTCTATGCTCCATTCTTCTGATGTTTCATTAATGTCATGAAAATGTTTGTGATGCACACTATTTCAAAATTTCCATAATAGCGATTTTTACTTACTTAAAACAAATTACTTACACATTCTCATGAAACAGTTCTCTACGGTCTAACATGTTGAAGGTGTAACAAATACCCTCGTCTGTTACAATAGGTGTAAAAAGTTTCTTACAAGGATAAGATTTTGCTCGGAGTCTACAATTAATAATAGAAAATTCTGGACTAACTTCAGCTAATATATCTAAAAAATTGTCTGAATTGGCATGAGTTAAAGACGAATAATTAAAGCCTCTCTGTTCTTTACACATATATGACAAAACGCTAAGATAATTTTCTCTGCAAAAACATACATCTTAGTTTACATTTAACAAATACTTAGTGGTATTACTCCATTTCAGTCAAATCCTCGCCTTCTTTTTTTCTCAAAAATGCGTTTCTATAATCAAAAACGCTGTACTTTACTTTTGACTCAGAACACACAGTTATTGACGGAAAGGGAATATCGCATATGGGTTTTCCTCTTGTAGCAAATGTAACGATGACTGGACTCTGATCCCATTTTCTGTACACGGAAATAATTGAAAACACGCACATGAGTAAACAGATCGTAAACACGATAAACCACCATATTCTAAAAGAGATTAAGTAAATATAACAATATCACTGAAACTGCCTAAAGAACCAAACTTTTCATAAACAGTTCTAGATTCTCCAAAATATCTGAAACCATGTATACTAGTCGCATTACAATATTCCCTAAAGTAGTATACAACCTTTTCAAACAAAATGGGACTCTTTTTCTTCTCACTACTGTTCTCTGACATTGTGTCTTTAGCGGGGAAACTTAAATCAACACTAACAAAGTCGTCCTCAAACATTGTACTTTTTATTTGCATAACACATCTGGTTTAGTGTCAGAATTTTAATTTAATTAAAACTTATAATTTCACACCTATGTCACCTAATAGTTTTATTGCATGTTAAAAATTACACCAATGGGGCTAAACATCGAAGAAATAATTCTTTTAATTAATTCTATTCATGTATGAGCGAGAATTTTAATAAACAAATGTTTTGTAGAAAATTAATTAAAGCAGCATTCCTGGGTATCATAATATTTATCGCAACTAAAACTGATTCCCAAATACTGAACACAGAAATATGCAGTGAACTTCTTTGCAGGAATACTGACAGCTGTTAATAAGTGATTTAATCTTTGTTTGAAAAAGAAAATAAAATCGGTCTCACCGTTCTACAGCTGGAAGATCAAAATAAATATCAATCTTTGGTTTCCACTATCTATCGTCTGTTTGTGTCTGCTGGAGCTTTTATTAAAGATAGTCTCGGTTACTACTGCACTTAAAAGGCGACATTTTAAGTGCACTTTAAGAATATTTGCAGATGGTAAAGAGCTAACCAAAATTTCTCTTCAACCCCCATCCAAAATTTGATGACGTAATTTTGAAATTTTGTTAAATTAATCTCCCCATCCTGTTTTAACATAGAAATTACCATAAAAAAAATAAATTTATGTCATTGGTTCATCGCAATTTTACATTAAAATTTATCTGATATGTGGTTGTCAAAAATAATTAATATATAAACCGCTTTGTGTTTTTGATTCCTTAATTTTTTCCATTACATATGTATATGAAAATCTTCCTACGTGATTTCCTTGAAATTCGTAGAACAAAGAAACATCATGTTAACGTTTTAAAAGTAACGTTTGTGAAGTTTTTTAACAAATTTCATCATGAATCTACAAACGCTAGAATGTGAAAAACTAACCCAAACGTCTCCTTTTGGTCAACTAAGTCGATGCTGCATACCGCAGAAGGTACGTCGTGTCGATCAGAATCGTCAGAAACAAGTCCAAATATAGTTCAGAGCTCATAAAATCGACCAAAATATGATTTCTAGCTAAAATTTGATGCTTCCCTTGTTGTTTTCGAGGCCGTAGGGTGTCTGATCTTTTTAAAACCACAAGAAAACGCTTTAAAAGTAACGTTTCTGAAGTTTTTTAACAAATTTCATGAATCTGCATACGCCAGATTAGCAGCAATTAATAATAATTAAATTTTAAATGCGATCGATACGTTCTTAACATGTATACAGAACATATTGTGCTTCGGAAACGAGGGAAGTTATATGATTAAAAACTTCAGAAATGTTGCTTTCCAAGCGTTTTCTTGTTGTTTCAAGCCTGGTCTGATGCAAATCACATTAAACCGTCACAGTCATATTAATTAAATTCACAAAAATCTACGAAAGTTGACCATGGATCAAAAGGTGAAAAAGGCTCCACTTACTGTCATAACAGGTATTCAAAGTGCTGTAAATCAGTGTTTAGCGGATTTTTTTTTAGCCAAACAACTGTTAATTGTGGATGTGAGGTGGCGTTCTGTACTTTACTTGAAGGAATTAATAGTTGTAAGACCTTAATTACAACTCAAAACACGATAATTTATCAGCTACAAAATGATGTGAGTTTTAAATTAAGAGCGAATACTGCTAAAACCCCTAATGAATCTAATTATACGGTTGAAAATCACGGATCGTCATATTTTGTACAACAAAGCAATGGAAAAACCACAGATAAAAATTCTACTGTAGCACTCAATAACAACTTTTTAATATATCAACCAGTTGATTATCATAATAAGTATACGTCGAGGACGTGACCACAGGCGTTTGTCTAAATCACATAATACTACTAATACTACTACTACTAAATGAGGACGTTACACAACGAAGATGAAACTTTATCGGATGGACATGATGACGAAATTGTCACATCGGAACGCCAATTACTAGTTACTGCAAACATTCATCTTCCTCCTAAGAATGAAACCAGGAACACCAAACAAAAAAACGTACCTATAACTAAAGTAACTGATGAAGGCACCGTAGGTTTTACTGAAGTGCAATACAAAAAGAAGAAAAGAACTCGTAACCTTCTTGCAGGAGCAGGTCAAGGAGCAACATCCGGTTTCTTAAAAGCTATTGAAAAAAATTTCAATTATTTCGTAACTGGCCTTCACCCAGAGACAACAGCTGATGATATCAAAGAACACCTCCATTAAATTGTTAACGTTGAAATTAAGAAACTGAACTTAAACAGAAGTGAAAAAACTGTATCCTTCAAGTTAAAAATTCCGTCTTCTGAAAAAGACAAAATATTACAAGCTACCTTATGGCCAAAAGGAGTTGTAATAAATGGGTTCTACTTATTTCCCAAAAGAGGACAATTCAGCACAACATTTTTAAGACAAGAGAGCAGCCACGAACACGATACTCGAAGAAAAGTAATGCCATCCTTCAATGTCGATATGAATAGTTCATCAGTCGGATACTACCAAAACGCAGTAGCGACATGTCCTAAATGCAAATAGCGTACCCAACGGGTACCAAGGAATCCATCAAATTTTAGCTGAAAATCATGTTTTGGTCGAATTTTATGAGTTCTTTTCGACTTGTTTTTGACGATTCTAATTCACACGACGTAATCGACTTACTTTGCCAAAAGTATACGATTGGGTTAATTTTTCACATTCTGGCGCTTGTAGATTCAAGAAATTCGTTAAATATCTTTAGACCAATTTTTTTCACTGCGGAATGTGAATGGAAATCTGATTTAGTGAAGAAAGAAAGGTTGAAAAGACTTTATGCATACTATACGCATATTTATCTGTCCTAATCTGATCTAATAGTACTATCAAATGAGCCGAGCGAGGCTCGGTCAACGAGATATTAATGATATTATAACTCCTATAACGATATTCTAAAGCTAAGAACGAATCTTGCTAATTTTAACAGAAAGTTAGCGTAAAGAAATGACACAAAGAAATAAATGAATGTCCTTTTGGTCACGATCCATTAAAACACAAATCGAAGAGATGTTGTAGACCAACTACCACCTATTTAGAGTTATTCTGGGCTGGCTAACTAAGGTTATAAAAGTTAAACTTAGATTTTAGAATCAAATATAACAATATACAAAAATTCTTCATTTATAAGTTACACAAATTTATTGAATGGATTTCTTGCCAGTTTCTTTACTTTCTTTTATTTTACAAAATATTTACATTATAGACTTAAATTTAAAGTAGTTTATTATGAGTCCCTACATACTTGATGTTTATTTCTAACGCGACTAAAAGAGAGCCCACTTTAATAATCTTGACACTAAAAGCCTAAATTTTTCTGTATGGTACAGTTTAATCTTACTTTCTCGTGTAATGAAAATTAACGTTTTACAGCAACTATAAGGATTAATGTAACACAAAGTTGATGACTTTTTCACTTCATCATTCCGTAATGTCTAGCAACTGTTATGTGTATATTTTTGACGATAGCTAAATTTACAAAAGATTAAAATGCGCGGTGTGTATTAATAAGTAACTGATGCCCATAATAACTCCAGTTTAAACACAATATTACTTATAACTACAAAATTTTGGCGCAAAATATTATTACAACATCAAGAACATGTTTACCAACATGAGTGTCATACCGGGGGGATTTTTTAAACACGCGAAAAGATCTGCCAACGCGCGTGGTAAGTTATTTTAACATGTTTATTTTTTGAAACTTTGTTTTTGAAATATTCTTTAAGTACTGTGAATAATAAATGTAACGTTATATCAAATTACCGGAGATGATTTTCAGTCTCTTTTCCACAGTTAAACTTGATTTATGAAAAATATGATACCAGATAAAGTATGTCGTAGTCATAGTCATTGGTATGAAAAGAGAATTTTCTTGTAGTCCCTGTTAAGCTATGAATTATGAAAAATATTACCTACAAGAACTATGAATTACTTACAGCAAGTTTAGTATCGATGAGAGTTCATCGAAAAGAAACAATAAGGCACTACTGTAGTTCTGCTAAATTTTTCTAAAGTTATAAATCCTTAAGAACCAGCTTTTTACAAAATTTCTTAAAACTAGTTGAAAATTCCGGAGAGGAATAACTTCTTATAATCTTACTACGAGTAGCTAACCCCGTGAACTTCGTTTCACCTACAATTTAATTTTGAATCTGCAAAACCGAATGCTTTGAAATCTTGCAGATGCTTTAAAAATATGATAAGCATAGTAAATTTTTATTCAAAATATATTTATTTATCCCCTCCAAAAAATTGATGACGTCGGCCCAAAATTTTGCCAAATGAATCCTATCTAAAATGTCCAAAATAAGATCAGACTATACTTGTGATTTATCATTCCATTCATATTTTTTAGTTTTGCTTATAGGGGTGTCTCAAAAAAATTTATCACTGAGTCAATTTATTTTATTGATTGAATCAAGAATTGCAAAATTGAATTTTGAAATATTGCAGACGTTTTGAAGTTACTGTTTGACATGGTAGGTTTTCAATCAAAATATATCTGTTTATCAAGCCCAAAAACCTGATGACGTCATCGCAAGATTTTGCCGAATAAATCCTCTCTAAAATGTGCAAAATATCATCAGTATATTTTCGTAATTTATTACTGCATTCATATTTTTTAGATTTGCTTTTACAGTGACTCAAAAAAATATATGGATCTGTCAATTTATTTTAGTGAGTAAGTCAAGAGTTACAGAAATGAATACTTTGAGATCTTGCAGACGTTTTAAAGTTATTGTAAGCATGGTAAATTGTTAAGAATATTTATTTATTCCACCCAAAATATTGATGGAATGGCTCACTCGATTTTCGCAGATAATTTTGGGAATACAATACAGTTATTTTTAGTATTACACTGCACCAATCCAAGGTGGTATACGTGTTGATCGTAAATGTTGATTAGGTCATCACAAAATTGTGTCAAGAAAAGACTCAACTCGAAAATGCTGAATATGTTTCATTATACTTTTGGTGCGAAGGAAGTT